CAAATTCACAAGAAACACAAGAAAAACCCGCTTGTGACAACTTTACCCAAAGGTTTATTTTAACCTAAATCACTACACCAATGTTTCAAATGTTGAAAAGCTTCCCATACAGGAAGAAAGCTAAAAACACACAAATGAAAGATATATTTTAACAATTATTTGCCTGAATTCACAAGCTTTGTTTTAGCAGGGAACAAAATAAATCAGTTTTAAAGCCCCAACATAACCAGTGCTAAGTCTTTTTTGCAGCTATTTTTCTTTGTATCGTTTTCTTAGTATGTTTCATTTGGTGATAAGTGGAGGCGTTGCAGAGACAAGGGTGGAACTAAACTGAGAAATACCGGCTGTTTCTCGGTAACTCCATTTTGACGCTTTGTGTTTCGTGCTTCGCATGTGCGACTCCACTGCCTTAATTCCCATCGTTCCGAGCTTGAATGACTTCTTGCACAAAATAGACTAAGCCTCGTGTATGATCCCTGATTCTGGTTTTAGCCATGGAGAAAACTCTTGCTCATATTTTCCAGACAAAAAATAAATGGCGCATCTCCCAAATGTTCCTACCGCAACAACGCTTTTAGGTTCCGCTATTGGGACGGAACCAATAACGGTGAGCCATTTATTTATTTTTTTTAAATAAGAAAAAAAAAAAAGGGTCAATTTTAACATTTTATTTAAATTACAAAAATAAATCGTAATAAAAATAATCCTATTTATGATGTTTTAAAAATGAAGACCTACGAAAGACTGATTTAAGACATTTTAATACCAATTAAGGCCTTAATTTTATTTTGAAGAATTCAATGCCTTTTAAGACTTTTTAAGGACCTGCGGGAACCCTGAAGAAGCAGACATATAGAAAGAAGCAGAGAAGCACTGATCTAATAAAAATGTTCTATATTAGAAAAGCTAACCATAAACTAGATCTACAGGTGGTTCTATCTGGGAAAGAAACTGAGCCACAGACCCAGCAGGCTGAACACAAATAACTGCTGTAATTTTCAGACAGTTTGTTAAAGGCATCTGACTTCTTTTTAGTTATGCAACACGTTATGTTGCAGTTACATAAATTCACCAAAAATGCATTAAAGTGCTTTTTATAAAAAAAATGATAGCTGTATTATATCGGTTTTTGATTTTCAGAGGAAACTAAAGCTGCAGAATGTTTATTTATTCCTCTTAACCTTGAGAGTTTCTGCCTAATTGCAGTTTTTACTAAAGTTGCGATCAAACCAAAGAAAGGTCTCCTCTCTCCATCTCCTTTCTGCTCCATCTCTCACGCCGTCTACCCATCAGCCCCTCCTTCTTCTACCTACCCATCTGTTTGTTCTCATTCATCAATGCCAGGCTGTGTTTTCCCTAATCTTTCTTTGATCGCTCCATCCAAACCCCAACTCAGTCTCTCCTCTTACCATCTGTGTGCACATTTGTCACACATTAGTTGAGAGTTTAGCCTTCACTTGTGCTTGTTTTTTCTGTCCTGTTTATCCACCATACTCTCCTCCCTTTACCTGAAAACTGATTTCTCTTGCTTCGCAGCGTTTGCCTGTCTGTGTCCACAGCTGCTTCCAAAATGTTAGGTGCCTTTTGATGCAGCACAGTCTGCGTCACATGATGCTGAACCGACACTAATCAGAACGAGCTTCAGGGATGCCAAGAACTGCTTATGTGAAACTAATTGGCCAAAATGAGGTGTATTTATTTGGGAAATGATCTTGTCCACCTCATTCACCCATAAAAAAACCCTCCTCTACTTTAACAGTGTTTGCTTTTTCCCCTTTGGGAATATCCGAACACCTTCTCACTGACTAAAAGTGAACGTTAACTCAATTCATTAGTATCTCCTCTCCATCCATCACAATTTCACCCACCTCTCTCTCTCTTTTCCTCCTCCATTATCTTTCTACCGCTCTCTCCATCTCCAACACACCTTGCTCTCTCTCTCTCGGCCCTGATGCCGGTTTCATTAGACAACAGGCGTCTGAGCTCTCTGGTGTGAATTCACACAGGGTCTAGAGGCGTCATACCGTTATTCAGCTCCATTCTCCATGTCTGTTAAACCGCAGACGATGGCCAAACAGAAAGAGGAGAAAACGACCAATGGACACGTTACATTTAGTCTGTGAGTCACTAGAGTGTCTGTGAACAGAAGAGACAGTAAGTATTCACCCCCCTCACATCTGATGGACTGAGAGACCAGAGTTTCATCCAAAGGTTCTCTCCTCACATCATTAAAACCTTTAAGTTTGTTTAGGAAGCAAGGAAGGAAGGAAGGAAGGAAGGAATTAAAAAAAAAATAATTACAGAAAAAACAAAATGAACAAATAAAAGAACAAAAAAGTATGAATAAAATAATCAATTACAAAATAGATCTTTGCTTAGTTTTTTGTTTCTGTTTAATCTTCTTCTTCTCTTCTGCAGAACAAACAATCACTGACATTTTCACCTTTTACCTGTAAAGGAAACTTCATCAGCTGCAGGTATCTGTCATTTCTCTGGTTTTTAGATCACTGCTGGCATTGAAGGCCCAGCTAGCCTAACTTAGACTGGCAGCACCTTTACAGACTGATTAACTAGTCCGTTAGCCACACTAACGCAGCCAAGTCTTCTCTCTAGGCCAAT